TTTTGGTGCAAAGAAGGAGGCCAGGAGCCTAAGATTATGCTAACACCCTACGAGGGTGAGACACCCCGCTAGAGTCATGATCAATCCAAGCTCCTAGTCCCGGAGGTGGTGACGAAATCCGTTGCACTCCCAGCGGGGATGAAGCCGCGAGCCCCGCCAGATGATCCGCCGCATAGTTTGCCTCACGATGCACGTGATGGATTCGTAAGGTCCAAGCCCTTTGGGCCAACTCCCTGATCATATACTGGTAATTATTGAGTTGTCCATATTACATGTAGACTCAACTTTTTTTTCTTTAATTTAAAATTGCTACGTGGTCATTTTTAATTTGTTTCTTCTATATATGTGCGTCATATCTTTATGTTCAACGTTCACATATTTTGATTTTGATTACTCTATATGATCTTTTAGCCTTCAGTGATATTTAATACTAGTATCGTGTACATAATTTAAAATGAAACTTGAGATAAAGAAGAATAAGACTTGTTTTTCAAAAGATTTTCTCAAAATGGTACAATATTATTGTAATCTTTATCTACGAATTTATGATAAAGATGCAGACGACATCACTCGCTTTTTTAAGATACATAAAATTTAGTTTTAATCTAAATTAGTACAACACTCGTGTATTATACGGGTGCTTGTTAAAAAATTATTCTTAAATTTTAAAATTAATGAAAAAACTATATTAAATTTAGTTTACTTTTTTACAAAAAAAAATATATATAACTATATATTTTGGAATGATATGTGTTACTTATTACTTACATGTGTTATATTATATTAGTTTTTATAACTTATATCATATAATTATTTGAAATATAAATATATTAGTTGATAAATAATTTTATTTTTTTAATTAATATTAAAAATAATTTTATTATTGTTATAAAGATAAATATAATTTTTTTTATACATACAATATGGATGTTAAATCGAAACTCATCAAAACAAGATTAATTTGATTTATGACATATGTATAACTGATAAAAATACAAAAGTTATTAACTTTTAAAATACATATACAATTCAATAGTTATAACAAGAAATGATATTAAAATACAATTAATGCATGTAACATGACCATAAATAATCAACATATTTATGGTACTCCGAACCTAATTATTTTTTGTTTGGAATTAAATTGAAATTTACCTAAGCCTAATAACGAAGCATGTAAGTTTACCACATAGGATTCCGAAGCACCAGAAGCAGCCACGTAGGCTCAGCGCGTTCTGAATTAATATATAGGGGGATTTAGAAAAATTATATTATTAAATCCATTAATATATTTATTACATAAATTTGATCTAATTAATAAAGTAAATTATATCATTAAAATTTAAAGCATTTAATAAATGAATGAGAATTTAAATTAGATAATACTTTTAAATTTGTGTCTGATCTCAAAAAAAATATACATACCAATATTTTGTGACTACAATATGAGTTGATACGTACAAAATCATCTTAAAAATAATATTAAGTTTATTCAATTGCTTAATATATCCAACATTTAATTTTCAAAAATAACTTAATATAATTGTTTAGTCTAGTAATTAATTTTAAAAACTAATCTTAATATATTTGTTTAGTCCAATATTTAACTTAAAAAAATAAGTAGAGATTATTACTTCAAAAGACAAACATACACGCCCTCAATTTTATTTGGTACCAAACAGATTAATTATATGAATTTGCATATCTGCCTCGATTGTTTATAGAAATACACATTTGACCCCGGATGAACCCCTAATTTCACAAATGCTGTCAGCACCCTAAACCTAGCGATCCTTTCATTTGGTCGGAGCTGAAAAATCTGCAAGTCTGATTCCACGGTACGTTTTGCCCACTTTTCGTTCATTTTAGCTTTCAAATTTTCTGAATCCATTTTCAATCTTTTTCCGTTGTTTGGTTCAATGGATTAAATCCGATGGATAGGTATGATTCCTAAGCATGTGTGATTTTTAGCTGCTTGGTTGAAATGAATGAGAAAATCACGAAAAGGGTTTGTCAATAGGAAATAATTTATGGGTTTTTTTTTTTTTTTTTTTTTTTTACCTCTAATTTTATGTTGGGAAATTTTTTAGAACAGGAAATGGGTTCTTTTGTTATTGTTACAGAGGTTCTTCAAAGTTCAAACACATGAATGCTTGTACTTATGAACGAATGTGCAGGAACTGCTAATGTTTATTGTTTGTTTATTCACGTTTTTTTCCGCTTACATGGACTCTTTGCAGCAGGGCGTGTACTTCTTCTGCCTGACCTAATAGGTTAAAGCCAGTATCTTGTTAGCATCATTTGTTGGGGAATCTTGAGAGTAGAACTGTTTTGCTTCTTTTTTGGAGGAAAAAAAAGATGCGAGTCCTTCTCCGTGCATTGACACAGCTTTCCATCAAACCCTTAAAGTTACACAGGCTCAGCCCTTTTCCTGCTATCCAGAGATCCTTTTCGACTCAGGATGAAGGCGGAAAAAAGGAGTCCGATTGGACAGCCCATTTTGGTGGAACCGGGTCGTCAGGCACTGATGGGCTTGGATGGGATGTGGGCCCCTCATCGTGGTCCACTGGGCTGACGAAGGAACACTTTGATGGTGAAGTAGTTGGGCAGCAGGTGAGTGCGGGTTCGGGCCAGAGAAATCCCGGTACAGGTGGTGCGGGTGGGCCCAAGGATGGGTGGTATTCTAATGCAAGGTGGACTGATGAGGAAGTCAAGAGAATGAACAAATTGGAGGCTGCAAATCGTGAGGGGAAGGCTTTCGTAGATAGCTGGGATGATAGAATGGATGAAATGACTGTGTTGATGAAGCAGGTAAAGACTTTATTACTAATTGAAGTGTAATTTATTGTATTATTCCTGCCTGTCTGTGACTATGGTCTGTTTAGTTTATGTAGTACATTTTGAACAAGATGACTGTTTATGAAGAAGAAGAAGAAAAAGAAGATCATCTTGTCTTTCTTTATTGATTCTGCCTTTTTTCTAATGATTTTGCTTGTATGTGCTGTAGTCATTTTTATCGAGAGATAATAAAATACATTTGTCTCATGATCACAGGCAATGTGCTCATATTCCTCCCAAATTTTTGTGCCTTCTATACTTGTTTGGATAAACTTATATGGTGTTTTAGTGTTGACTGTAGAATACTATAATGCACATTTGAATGCATATCAATTTTCCAAATGTTTTCCCTCCAATAATGGGGTAGTGATTTATATTCAAGAAAGGGAAATATAAGTTCCGCAAACAAAATTCGTTTAATAGTGATTGAAAATTTTGATCGAAGGTGAGGGAGCCTGGAGCCAGGGGATCATACTTGAAAGATTCAGAGAAAGCAGAGATGTACAAGAAGCACAAAGAGAATCCGGAAGTGTACACAGTGGAAAGGCTGGCAAAGGAATACAGGATCATGAGGCAGCGAGTGCACGCGATTTTATGGCTGAAGGAGGATGAGGAGGAGGTGGAGAAGAAACTCGGTCACCCATTGGATGACTCTGTCGAGCAATTACTCGATACATGTCCCGAGTAAGCAGAATGTGATGTGTCCACTATGGAAGATAATGGATGCTTGAGCTTTGTGGTTTAATGTTGTGTTTGCTGATGTGGTTTGCGAATTTGCATTTAATGTTGGTTTATATAGTTATTCGTGATGCATCATGAATATAGGAATAGTATAGAATTGATCTCATGAGTGCGAATATTCATTGATTGCATTACTGAATCTGATGCATTATGAATTTTTCTTTAGAGTCCTGCATTTTGTTGCCTTATATGGTTACCACTAAACACCACTTGAAAACATAGCATAAAAGAACACTATCATGTAAACTGTCTATTGAGCCCAGTTAGATTATACAGAAAGTGGTCAAGGAGTAGGTTTCCTTATTCTTTAGATGAACTCGCTTCACTCTGCTAGATTTATTTTGTTTGAGATTCTTTCACGTCCTGCCTTCTATTATGTGATTCAGCTTCTATGTGAATAAGAGCAAGTTATACTCTGTAAAGAAAGGTTACTAAACAAAATTGTGTACAAATTGTGATTGTCTGTTACCTTGTTTGCTTAGATCCTTAGACGCATTTGGTTACGAAACAAAACTCTTCCACGTAACTTTTTTGGCTTTATTTTTTTGGGTAGATGGCTCTAAACCTGTTTTCACTTGTACTCGGACCATATGAGTTAGCTTTTCTCGATCTTTTGGGTTGTGTAGGTTTTTTAACTCCCATGATAGAGAATTCCACGTAGCAGCCCTGCCGTATAAACCGGATTTCAAGGTCATGCCTGAGGGTTGGGATGGCACCACACGGGACCCAGATGAGGTGCACTATGAGATCTCAATGAAGGAAGATGAAATGCTGTACCAAGAATTTGTTCAGAGGATGAACTTTAACAAGATGAAGGTAAATCTATCTTACCCTTTCCTTTGTTACTGGTATAAATCCATACGAACGTATACAAAACTGCCTTCTTATTTTAGCCTGATTACTGAAAAACCAAAAAGGAAAAAACTTGCCTTCCAAAATTACGAAAGCTGTGTTTGTATCTTCCTTGCAAATACCCCATTCTCCGTAATTTTGAGGAAAAAAAGAAAAAGAGTTGAAACTTGTTGTGATGTGATGCCGTCATTTTTTTTACCATGATTTAGATGGCGAAGAAAGTGAAATGCCACAAGTACAGCCGAAAGCGTCCAGACGAAGGCTGGAATTTCACGGTTGAGAAACTCGGTAAGCAGGCTAAGCGTGGTAATGGGGGTGGGTGGAAGTTTGTGAGTGAAGCCGATGGCTCGACCCGACCTCTGAACGAGTTTGAAAAAATGTTTGTCAAGAGAGAGACACCCCGCAGGCGAAAGAAAATCCTCCCCTGATGATTTCATCTGAATACAGTCTCTCTGTAGCTGTTTGAGTGAAAGAGTTGAAGAATCGAGTTGCTTAGTCAAATGAAACATTTTTTTCTTTTTTTTGGTAACTTTTCTTGAAATAATACCTGCACACAATGCTTTTCCATATTTTTAGCATTGTTGAATATCATACCCAAGCACAAGATGGTAGAAAATGAAATGCAGCTTGAATTTTTACTATGACATTCAGGAGTGGCAAATCATGCTAATGTGTCGTTTTTGTGCTTCATTATCGTGTTTTCGTGCGATCTATTTATTTGATCTTTCATTATCTTGTTTTCGTGTGATCTATTTATTTGATCATAAGTACGATAATAACTCCGAATTCGACTGATTTTTCTTTTCTCTTTAATTTCATGTTATTCTTGTACGAGCGTGTCATCGTGTCATGTCTCTGTAATCGTGTTTTCTAATGTTTTTTTGCGTGGTCATTGTCGCCTCTAGCTTTTCGTATTTGATCGTGGTAATTGAGCAAATATAGTAATATCACACAAAAATTTGATTGCATAGGACTCGTTTGTTTTGGGATGTGATTTGGGGATGATGTTTGTTAGGCTATATATTGTTAGGATTTAGTTTCGGATTATTGTTCCACTGCGTGCTTGGAAAAAAATGATAACATTGGGATTAATTTAGGTAATTACATCATCGCCCCTTTATATCTAAGAATTTATTAAAAAAAAAAAAAGTATAATTTTGAAGGAAAAATAATCAATTTTCAACATCACCCATAATTTTGCAAAATTGAATCTTACTTGCAAACTCAAAAGTGACTTAAATTGTCCTGTATTAATCTAGCATATAATGATACTGACCAGGCACAAATGCTTTTAGAGGAATTGGGACAAGCCCTAATAAGCAAACATGGTATTGTCTAAGATGCACTTCTATAGTTCATGAGTCAGGTGTCCTCGAGCTCACCTGATTCAAATTAGTACAGTAATTTCGAAATATAACTGGAAAGTGTAAAGATTACGCGCGTCTAAGAAAGATCTTGCAGAGTATATGAAGAAGGAACAATTGATACATATCCTTTTAGCTTTAGACTCCTGAAAGTTTGTTGACCTCATACAGCAGCCCAGCAGAAAAAAGAAAGCTGCATATTCAGACCATTTGGTTTAGTGGTGCATCGGGTCACAGTTTCCGATTTTTCCTTTAGTTAAGTGTCACCAAAGAGGAAATACGAGATGATAAAATTACCAGGTTGTAATGCAAACTCGGTGAACAGTGCTAGCTGCGATCAGGGCTACAATTTCTGCAACTATAACTGCACCAACCGAGAAAAGGTAAAAAGTTGAGTGAATCATCAGTTCGTGTCCCTATCTTTCTGAAGTATCTATAAATTTCGGAATGCAGTATTCTGTAGATACATGTCAGGAAACTTTTTTTAAAAAATAACAAAACATAAATATATGGATACATTTAAGAAGTTGTCTATAAAACCCATTCAACACCTTTATACCAGATTTGGGATCTATCAATTTTTATTTTTTTTTAGATTTGAAAGACAATTTAATAGATTTAGATGTTTTCTTATTATACTAGTGCTAATAAGTGCTCGACTCATCTATTTGCTTATCCTGCACATCCTTTTTTTTTGGGGGCGAATAGATGGAAAGTATTTTCATCATCAAAGAAGGAAAATAATAACATGAAAGTTAGACTTTATCTCAACGCAAAGGCTCGGTATGGAAAAAAAAAGGCTCGGTATGAGTAAACAATGCATGAAAAGTTTTCAAACAAGAATATAGGTACTTACCAGACCCCCATCCTGTCTTGACACCAATTGTTTCCTGATAATTTCCAATAAACTGCCGGAAAAACAATTCATGTCATACTCATATAGCACAATCAAATTGGAAAGTGTCTCCTCTGGTCCACTAAATGGTAATTACAGAATCAGAGTCTAGCGTACGCTAAATAGGCACATTAAGAAACTGAGAACAACATTTCTAGCAAGGTTAAACTACTATCACAACCATTAGAATGCACACACTAATCCAGTAGTGATGTATGTGTGTTTCAAGCAGTTTAACTTCATAATCTGACGTGATTTGTAGCTTTGTGATTTAATTGGGCTTTTTGGGCCAGGTATAGAAGAAAAATGTACTCCGAAGTGCGTACCTAGAACTAAATTCTTGGTGATAAACTAAGGGCTATGTGTGAGAACACAAATGAAATTAGGTATATAAAAAGTTCCCACACGATAGACATAGAATATGCCACCACCAAACATAACTTTTACACCATTTAGCAACTATTGATGGTTCGATTAATTACTGTTTCCACAATTAGTATGTAAAGGATTGCTAATTTTTCCTTACCGTCAGCAGCATAAGGAAGATGATAGAGCTTGTGAATCCTCCAAGAATAGTGAATAACTCTGACGAAGCTAATTTCGTCCTAAACATTTCTTGTAGAGAGAGAGTGGCCACGAATAATAGGAACGAATATAGCATGGAACTCCCAGCTGTAGCCATATTCTCTATCTGACACTAAAAGCAAGAAAACGAAACCACAATTAAGAGAGAGAGTGAGAGAGAGAGAGAGAGAGAGAGAGAGAGAGAGAGAGAGAGGATCAACAAATGAAGGTTTAGAAACGAAAACAGTTTGTTGTAATTGTTGGAGACTTGATTGCTAAATCTAAAGAGGGGTTTTCAAATAGGCCTATAAATAGTTTCATGAGAATCTCCACACACCCACGATTTGCAATCATATCGTTTTTCGAGCAGATGCTTGTCTTCAAAGTTAGATCAACAGCATTTTCCAATAAAATAACCAACATTTCGTAACAGAGACATTTTTCATTTTTCAGCTGCAATACATAGTAGCTATTTCTTACGCAACGTGTATTCTACATTCCCATCAAGTAATTATCTAAACCTAGTCAGAACAAAACGTAGACCTCCTAGTTGCTGCACGAAAAAAAAGTCTCCACTTATATAATCTCGACACTTTCGCATTGTTACACAAACGACTTCACTACAATCCCATAGTGGCACACGCTTGCGATTTCATGATTTTCCAATTCCATTACTCCAACTTTCATGGTACAAATGTCAACACATAAACTGAAGCATATCTTTATGAAAAAAGAAAATTAAGCAACAAAGCTAGTAAACCGACGGCAATCAGAAGTCTGTGACCTAAAACATAAAGCAATTGTAGCTCAATCAACAAATTGATCACAAACAAATCAGACCCAAATCCACCTGTGACCTAATCAACAAACCGGATGAACAAATGATTAAATCAAACTATTGATTTTACTCAATAAGCCCACAAATCCAAGTCAAATCCATAATCGACATTATCGTCACTCACAAAAGGATCGCATCACAGATACATTTCAGAATCTCGAGAAAAATCGATACATCAAGAGAACGATTGATCGCTTACAAAGAAAAAAGAACAAATAGATCGATGAAACTCACCAGGAGCTCTGTTGTACGCACCAAAGTTTTTGGATCAGAATGAAAAAGAGACGGCGCACATAAGCTAATGCTTTACAGTGCTGCAAGAGACGGCAGCTTACAGTAGAACTCACGACTCACGAGACATGAACAGTGGCGTTTTCTCTAAATAAAACGAGGGCGATTTGAGTAGAAAACGTGGGTTTAGAGCACACGACTTGACTAAAAACGCGCTCCCTTTGTGCTTAAATTGCTACTTCACGTTCATAAATGATATCTCCACATCGACACCGACCACAACGTGAAGTTTCCTTCACGTATTCCACATTTTTTTTCAAATTTCCTATCTTCTTTCACCTTTTCTTACATTTTTTTTTCCTATTTTTTCCATCTTCTTTCTCATTTTTCCTATCATCTTTCCCACATTTTTCTTTTCTTATATTACAAGTTTTCTGTTTTTTTTCTTATAAATACTCTCTTCTCTTTCACTTATTTCACAACTTCACTTTTCTTCTCTTTTCTATGTAAATATTTCCAAGAGTGTTCTTAGTGTTCTTGATATTCTTCAAGTTTGATCTTTGCATGCAAGCTTGGTTTTATTGTAAGTTGTTTATTTTTATTTCCCTAAAAGTTCTAAGTGATATATTGACGTCAAGTTTTAATCGTAATCGTAAGTTATCGTTCGAAAGTTTTTATGAGTAAAACGATAGCTTGGATTATTCTTATTATTTGTGTCAATAAAATCATGACGAACTAAACCCTTCGTTAGGGATAGGGAAATGATTGTGTCGGTTCGATGATGATGACGAATTGTTGATTGTACCTATTATTTTGAGTTATATTTATTTTTATGATTTAAGTAGAACTAAACATTCTTTTAAATCTACTTAATCAACTTTTAACCCGAAAATGGCGAAGTTGATTGATCACGGCTCGAAATAAATAAGTTTACAGGTAACTGTATTGCTTATATGTTAGGTGGTACGCGAATACATTGATTTATGTTTATATTCTTACTCGTAACTGAATGGAATATGAACCTCTAAATTAGTGTGTTTATCGAATCATTTAACCGAATGATTAACAATTCGAAGTAATCATTAAAATTGATACAATTATTTCTCGATTCCCTAACACTTTCCTTATCTTTATTCTTTTTACCCATTTACCATTTTTATTATTTTACTGTTGTTTATTTACTGTTCTTTTTATTTTATGTTTGTTAAATTAAATTAAGAATTTTAGTTAAATATAAAACCACATCAAAATGGAGTAGAATGTTTAGGTTCATTTTCTCATTTTTATATTTCGACAATTAAATAAAAAACAAAGCTCCGAACGACCTTCCTTGAGATCGACCCGAGGTCGGGTAACTCGGTCACCAAATACCCACAAAAATCTCTATCTCAATTTAGATTTTTTAAGATTTTTAAAAAATTTAGGGTATTCAATTGAGATTTTTAAAAGTCTTAAAAAAGCATGAGGTATTTGATTTTTGACACTATAATTTATTAAGACATTTTAAGATTTTATGTGATTCCTAAACAAAAAAAAAAAAAAAAAAAACCTTATACGAAAGTTCACTTCAAATCCTACCTTTAAATTTAAGATTTCATATAATTTTTCTAAAATCTGAAAATCCTAAAAAGATTCAAATCTTAAATAGTTTTAAAATGTCACTTAAAATCTCAATTGAATACATTCCACTTAATTTATATATGATATATGAATGTCAAATCAAATATTGTTGAAATATAACTAATTTGATTTATTATATTCGAGTGAGTCACGTTAATAAAACATTATGAATTCTTAAAGTATATTTATAACTTAAGTTGATCAAATGTATTCTAAATTAATTAATATGTATATATATAGTAAGGGTGGGTTTGGTTGGTATAGGGTGATTGAGCATGATATAATCTTCTTGATAAAATCAAAAGTTATCTATCTATTTAACTATTACATTAACTTGTTTGGTTTATAGTTAATAATTATATTCTGCAAGTTAAAATTACTTTTCTACCCTGTATTCAAATTCAATTTTCAAATTATGCCCTCAACACAGTGTTACAATTGTTGCTCTCGTCATCCTCTACTCAATCCTCCCCTCCCTACACCAAATTTTCTGCACAAATTCAACCCAACTGCAGTCCCAATCCCTCGCCCCTCTCAATTTTTAGTGCAATTTCACTTTCAGATCGAAAATTAGGAGGAAATAAAAACTGCTTGTTGCAAGAATAACAAGAGCCGAAACAGCCCCAACACCAGCCCCTCCGTGAGTCTCGTTCGCCCCCGAGAAACGCTCACGGCCACCGGCGGATTCCCCCGCCATCTCCGCCGCCGCCTTCGAGATCGACGGGCCGAAAGAAGGGTTAGGGTCGATCTAAAATTTACCCCTTGGATCTGAAATATACCCATTGGACCACAAGCTTGAGGCTTGACGAAATGAAGCCTTACTTCTGTTGCTTTAAAAAAAAAAAAAGAAAAAAAAAAGGAAGAAGATTATGATGAAGGAGAAGGAATGGAGTCTTGCACTGCGGACACAAATTCAAGGAAAAAGAGAAAATATGAATTAGGGATATATTTGTAAATTTAAATAAAAAAATAGAGTGGGATAGCACATCCCACCTATGATGTGAGATACACAATACTAAAAGTTGTTAATATTTGACCGGGCCCTTCCATTTTAACGGGCTTAGAGTGCTTGAACCAAACATGTTTATAGGCATGAAATAATAACAATAGACATGATATCAAGCTCAATCCACCATACCAAACTGACCCTAAGTATATATAAAATTTAATATATTATGGACTAATGTCTATGAAACACAAAAAGTATATATGGTACTAGGAAGTTGGAAGCACGAAAATTGACATTCATGATCCTGAATATCATAAGTGTTGATACTTAATTTGGCCTCCACTAATAAAAATGTTACACATGGATATTGTTGACCTAAAAATCTGCTTTAGCGTTGGATGACTGACACGTGGACGGCGAGAAAAGTGAAGGGGGTACACCCAAAAGTGCCGAGAAAACGTAGCCCGACCTGTGGTGGCCGACCTCATTTAGGAAGCCGACCTTGCCTGGAAGCCGACCTCCTACACGAGGCAACCTCGGGTGCCGGCCGACGTCGGAACGGACAAACAGCATTTAATGCGGGTACCATCGACTGTTCAGAGCCCATGTGGAGACATCATTGCGCGAGGGGGCCCCACAGACAGAAAAAGCTGCGCAGATGTCATTCCTCATTAAATGCCGCCGAATCTCCTCAAAAGACGAGCCCTCAGATACTATAAATAGCAGCAATAAAGGCAATACGAGGATCTTTTTCCCCGACACATAAATTCTGCATTGATCACCTCGGCTATTGCCAACTTTAGCATTATTGTATAAGAAAAACCGACCTCAAGTCCGCGAAATACCGACTTGATATTTTCCTAGATAATTCTCAATTGTTCAGAAAAATCGTCTCATCACGCTATTAATCTAATAAATATAAATATAAATAAGTTGATCAAATCCGTTTATCAACAGATATATATAATAATAAATCTAAAAAAACAAAGTTCTTGAATTGATTTTTTATTATTATCTTAGTTCCCATAAGTTAAGATTGTCCCAATTCGAGAAAAGCAGAATGCAATGACAGCAGCCTGACCCGGATATCACAAAAAAGCCGTCTCAGCAGACACAATAATTGTTGACATAACATTTATCAATTGAAGTCGTCAAGTATTATTACTGGGCCTGCGCGGTCACATTTGATTCATTACATGTATATTATGTTAATATAAAAGCCCAATATATTTTATGTGAATGGGCTTAAATAGGGTGATTTTTTTTCTTTTCTTTATTTAGAAAAAAAAAGGAGGCGAGGGGGGGGGGTTCTTTTTCTTTATAAAACGGAGGGGGGACTCTTTCTTGCAGGAGGACAATTTTCCTTTCATCGACAAAAAGCTCAAATATAGAGAATTGAGCTCCTTCTTCTATTTTCGTGATATTATTTTTTCATTTCTATTCATGAAATTACACATAAAATCGATATATAAAAAAAAAA